CCGTGGTTTGTGTCCCGGACCCGGTGGCTTAAAACTCATGCCAGGCGCATGTGCGTGCGTGCCCAAGATCCCGAGAGGAGAATGGAGGAGAAGGAATTGCAGCGTGACCATCCCCCCTGGGGGGTGATTTCTCGCTTTCTGTCTCTATGTCTCTCTCTGTCTGTCTGGCGAGCGCACGCGCCCTACAGTGAAAATCTCTCCAAAAAAAAAATAATAATAAAATAAATAAAAATAAATAAAAACAAACATAAAAATATCACCCTAGGGCTAACCTGTGGCCTGGTGGTTATGCGAGTTGGATTCTACATGGCCTACCATATAGTTTGAGTCTTGAATTCTGGGGCTTGAGAAACATGCTGAGTACATGTGTGTGTGCCCGAAATCCCCAAAGGAAGGAGAAGCGGAGGAGGGATTGTGGCATGACCATTCCCTTGGCCAGTGCTTGTGCCCTCTTGCAAATTAAAGCAAAGAGAGAAGAGAAAGACATCACCCTGGGATTCAGGAGATGGCTCTAGTTGAAGGATGTAGGAGAGGTCTTCAAATGTTTCATGGAAAATGTATATTTTGAAAAATGTATGTGTGGGACCAGCAGGTGGTATGGTGGTTAATGTACTGGAATTCTTACATGGCTGACTGTGGTTCAAGTCCCAGACCTGGCAGCTTGCTTTCTAACTCTCCCTCTCTCACTCTCTCTGGCAAAATTCATGTGAATAATAACAACAATAATAAAGAAATAAAGAAATAAAAATTTTAAAAAAAGAAAAATCTATGTGTGAATTCGAATCTTTTTGCATCAAAATAAACTTGTACTTTATTTATTTATTTATTTGGAGAGGTTTTTGCTATAGGGTGCATGCGCTCGCCAGCCAGACAGAGAGAGACAGAGAGAGAAAGCGAGAAATCACCCCCTAGGGGAATGGCCATGCTGCAATCTCTTCTCCTCCATTCTCCTCTCGGGATCTTGGGCACGCACGCACACACGCCTGGCGTGAGTTTTAAGCCACCGGGTCTGGGACTCGAACTGCGGTTGACTACATGGGAGTCCAGCGACACAGCCATTACACTAACTGCTGGTCCCCAAAATAAACTTGTACTTTAATTCCATTTGCCACAGACTTTTTGAAGTCCCCTTGTATGTCAAGGGCACTTTATAGATGACAGCGGAAGGCATACGTGCGGGTGACAGCCCAAGGACAGTGTACAGACAGGAGAGAGAAGATCAGTATAGAACCTGAATCCCAGTTCGAGGCATTAGTAGGAAAGTTAGGGTCTTCAGAGGAGACCAAGAATGACCACGTAAGGAACAGAAAGAATGCAGGGAGTCAGGTTATGGCGGCTAAGGAAAGAGACTCCGAGTGACCAAAGTGTCACCAACTGGAGGATGAGCAGGTTTTTGCACATTGGAGGGGGTGGCCCTTTTCATCACTTTGGCTGGTCTAAGAGGGGGCATAGAAGAGCTAGGAGAAAGTCAGGGAGCACTAGGACCCGGCTGGTCCCAGACACTAGTACCCTGGGAACCCCCTGGCCTGCTGTGAGGATCTGTTTCCTTGGCTCTGGCTGGCAGAGGTGACAGTTTGGCCCCAATTGTAAGGAGGTACCTGCTCATGAGTACAACACCCCGCCCTGCACCCAGCCTGAGAAGTACCTGGCATTTGCGTCCATCCATGATGCTCAGGTCCTCCTCGAACTCCACCCCCACCTCGAATTCCAGAACGTAGCTGCGGAAGGTGCTGAGCGTCTTCACTGTCATGTGGTTGCCCTGGTGGGTGATCTCCTTGTCTGGCTTGAGCAGCAGCACTATCTTCCGCAGGGCCACGCTCACGTCTGTGGGGAGGGCAAGCTCTCAGCACCGGGCCAGCAGCAGCCAGCAGCTCCCCACAGCAGCCCCTGGGGCTGGGGGCTTCCCCTCAGCTGGGTCTGGGACTGTGGGTTCGCCCCTGTCTGGCAACGCCCCTGGCTGGAAATGGATCCCGTCAAGTGCCAGCTCCTGGGCCTTACCGCAGCGTCTGCCTTCTCCATGGAACGGAGGGGCAGGAAGGGGTAGGGAGAAGGGAGTGAAAGGGGTCAGGCTTACTTAGGGCTTGCAGGTAGTCCTCCATGTTCTTCTGCGAGACGAAGCGGTAGTAGCCGGTGAGGTTGGGAGGCATGGTGGAGGCTGGCCGAGGTGGGGCTCACGGTTTCAGAGGAAGCAGGAGAAAGGTGAGGCTGAGAGACTCCCCAAGAACACAGGAAGGTCCACCACAGGGCTTTTATAGGGCCAGTGCCCTGTTGCAATCCGTCCCTCCCAGACTTCTCCCCGCCCTCATGATGAGTCTGGAGGGGCAGGGACTTGGCGAAGTCCGGTCTGAGCTCTGCTTTTCCTGAGGAAGGAACCTGGAGTGGGATCTAGAGTGCTCAGTCATCCAAAACTCGAACCTTTCCGAAGGTCTGTTTCTGCCTGCACCCGACTTCTGGCAGGCCTGGGAACAGTCCCAGAGGTCTGAGAGGCAGTTTCCCAGGGGAGGCAGCTCTGGCCATGTGGGACGGGGTCAAGTTCAGCACTATCCTGAGGGATTGAGCTGGGATTGAGCTGGGATCTGCAAGCTGAAAGGAGAGCAGGTGGGGACAGCGACGAGAATCCTGTAGCTCTGGCCCTTAAAGGAGGTGGCTGAACCGGGACCTCAAACTGCCATTGCAGGCTCTTGGTCCCAAAGGACCTTCGGGAGGAAGGCAGAGAAACTGCCCTTGCCAGGCAGAGGGGCTGTCAGATGGGGTGTCGAGTTCAAAGTCTGAAACAGGAGGTGAGGGAGGAGTCTGGCTGGCTGCTCTGCGGAATTTGACCCTCTCTGGTTTGGGACCCAGGGTTTCCCTCTCCATCGGAGTCATCCACGACACCATCGCCCCAGCCCCTCAGCCCTCTGACAGCCTGTGCACACCAGAGATGTCCCCCTGGTTGTGGTGTGTGTGTGGGCACCTACATTTTGTGTATCTAGCCTCCAGCCTCCTCCTGTCTCAAACCTGTCTCTGACTTCAGAACCCCGGCTGGTTTATCGAGGTTTCGGTGGGACATCTAGGGAGGAGGCCGGGAGGACAGACAGTGGGAAGAAAGAGCCTGGCATTCGCTGGGGTGACAGCCCCACAGGTGTGTGCGCGTGTGGGGTGCACACAGGTCTCAATCCTGCAGCCCCCGAGCCCTTGCCACCGCCCGTGTCGGTCCCGCGGTTTCCGCGGAGACCTGAGCAGGGGACGGAAGCGCCGGGGCTTCTCCGGTGCAGACGGGGGCTTTGACTTGGCAGCTCGCAGAAGGCACGCGGCGGGGGCTCGCCGGTGGCGCCGGCTGTGAAGGAGGTTAACGCAGAG